CAAACGTTCTAATTAGGGCGATGCTTAATCTGCATTTATTCTTTGTTCAACTACAACCAAAACATGGAAAGTAAAACTTGGAGATAGCTCCATTCAAATTTTAAGATTAAAACTCGTTTGAACTGAAAACTTTGGTCAGAGGATCACAAACCACGTCATCTACTGGCTTAGGAGACAATAGACGCCTCAAAGTATCCCCAGAGGAAAGCGGGTCGATGAGATGAAACAACTGGGCAGAGAAAGCTAACACATTTTAGGGGTCAAGGAGATGCAGTTGAGCACCTATAGGCAGATGAGCTGGTTCAGTCTGATGACCAGTTAGACCCCTGGGCCTTTTTCCCACACCGCTCTCTGCTGGGGTCCCCTGAGCTCTTCTGTGCTCACACTACTGATAAGGATTCATTTGCTTTTTGATGAGCTAGACCAGGGACCATCGCCTCAGGGATGGTGGGAATGAGAGCTGCACACCTTATTGGGTTTGTTGTTCTTGTTATTCTTTTTTCTTTTTTTTTTAAAGACAGCGTCTCACCAGGTAGTTCTCACCAGGTAGACTCACGGAGGTCTATCTTTACCTCTGCCTCTGCCCCCCCCCCCCACACCCCGAGCGCTAGGACTAAACGCCAGGGTTACCACGCTTAGCTGCACACCTTCATTGAATATGAAAGTCCTGGTACTATACCCCAAGACTCTGACATCCACTCTCTCCCACTCTTGGGGAGCTTGTCCTTTTTGGTGCATGGGTATAGGGAACAGTGATTGGGAGAAAAGATGAGTGTCTCTAATGCCCCAGCAAACCTAGAAGGCCACACAGTACTGGTGTTCTTCAGTGGACTGCAGATGTGGCTTTGGGGACAGAGAGGGAAGCAATTGGCAAGAGAAAGGGTACCCAGTACACTTAGCTCCTGGACGCTGATTGCATGAATGAGAGACCTAGAGGAAAACCGAGCTTGTGAGCAAAACAGAGCAACCACACTGGGCTGGATTTTTCCTTTTCCCGGTGTAGGTGTGATTAGACGCATTTCCAGAAGGTTCTGTAATGTGAAGGCATTTGCAGAACTTTTTAGTGTAATTTCCAGAAGGATCGGTTGGGGTGGGAAGAGGATGTATTTCAGCTTCACCAGTTGCTATAAAGAATCAACTTCCTTGGCAGGGAAGTCTTCTGCCAAAGATGCCACCCATGGGCAGGAGCCTAGAAATCTGGGAATAGACAGAAAAGACAAAGTCAAGGTGTGTGCTTGCTATCCAGAGGCTTGGGAATACCAGAGAAGAGGAAGCATGGACAATCCTGAAATTGAAGCTCGTCTTTATAATTTGGCCCCTATTTCACCTAAATTACCCTGGAGGCTGAAGTCATCCTGGTAACTACAAGGAAGTCTGTCCCTCCACAGTTGTAGGGTGGCTTCCAGGCTGTTGCCTCTTTTTGAGGAGAGAAAGGCTTAGGCTTGACTCTTGTTCCTGCAGAGATCACAGTTGGGTAGAGCATGCACACAATGACAGGACATGGAGTCACTGGCTCCTAGAGGATGGGGTAGCTGCACGTCCTAGGTCCTCACGTAAACATGCCGGGCTGGTTACTTAAAACATTGGGTTTCTTTCTAGTTTCCAAGGGAAATGGAGGCAGAGGAAATTTCTCACAATATGCCCAGGGTTATAGAGCTAGGAAGACACAGGATTTGACCCAGACTCTTACCCCATATTCAAGCCTTGACATCATATTCCAGGGGTGTCCTCAGATGCCCAGAAGAAGTGGAAGGTGCAAGAAGAGTCCCCTTCTCAGAGTATGTTGTTAAAGATGTTCTCTGTTTTGAGTGTAGCACATGGTTTCAATGCCCGCTTCTCTATCCTGATATCTCAGACGTGGTAGCTCCTATTTTCTGCTCGCTTACAAAGCACATCAGCAAACCAAGTCCTTGCTTCCCTATACCTTTGTCTTTATCAAGAAATGCTGATTCAGATGGCTGTGGTGGCTCATGCCCGCGATTTCAGCACTTGAGGGGCTGAGGCAGGAGGATCACCACAAGTTCAAAACCATCCTGGGCTACAGAGTGAGACTTTATCTCCAACAAACAAACCAAAGTTGACTCATTCTTTCACATGCACAGTTTTACCTTCATCAGCGCCTCTTTGAATCTCACATCTCATGTCCAGCTGTTCAGGACAGCACGTGGCTCTGCCTTCCAGGTGGAGCACAACCAGGCCATTCTGAACCTGTTCTTGTTAAAGTCACTCCTCTCTTGCTTGGGTGACTATCATGGCCCCATCCTACTTCCTTCCTGCTGACAAGGCAGCAGTCCGGTGCTGTCAACATGGAAGTTAGATAGTGCCGCCCTCTGCTCATAGGCTCCAGTAGCGTCCCATTGCGGCCCAAACATAAGTAGGGACATGCCGGTGCTCAAGACTGGGACTCACCACTGCTGACCTTGTTAAACACTGGGTCCTCCAAGCTCATGCTGCCTTCGTTACCAGCCACCTTAACATTCTCCCACTTTCAGAATTCACCGTTGATGTTCCCTTTGTCTGGGACTTACCCTCTGATGCAGACATGACTTGTTGCCACTCCTGGAGAGACTGATTTACTCCAGGACACCTTTCCATCACATAACTTAAAGTGACCCTACATCCCAATTATATTTTTTCTCTAATTTAATTTTCTTTATTATAAAATTTCGCCTTACATACAGTAAGTTTATTTGTGCTTTAATTAATAGACTTTAAGTACCAGGAGGTCAGAGTTTTTATTGCTTACCACTCTTTCCCCAGCATTGCCTAGCAGGGTGGCTGAAAGAGAATGGCCTTCGTATATGGGCTCATGTATTTGAATACTCGGTTCCCAGTTGGTGGAAGGGTTAGATGTGGCCTTGTTAGGGGAGGGCGTCACTGGGGTGAGCTTTGAGGTTTCAAATGCTTGTACCATTTCCAGTTAGCTCTCTGTCTACTTTGTGGTCGTTATCCCAACACGTGAGCGCTCAGCTGTTGTTCCATTGCCAGACCTGCCTGCTGCCACACTCCCCATCTTGATGGTCATGGACTCACCCTCTGAAACTATAAACCCAATAAACTCTTCTATAAGTTTTCAAGAAATGAATAGCTCAAGATTGAATCAGGATTTCTGGTATTCACATTCCCTAGCCCCAGCAATCCACAGGAGTTCCCTGAGGCAAAGGGCTTGACATAGACTTCCCCTGAACAATCTTTTCTTTCATACTCTCCAGAGGTAAGCTTGTGGAAACTGTCAGCTAATGTATAATGTGCATATCCCAAGTACAGTGTTCAATCTGGTATTAGTGAATTTAGGAATTTCATGAATGGAGAAGTATTTTGCAAGAAGATCAAGCAATAGACCTTTGGAGAAATGGCCCAGGCTGGCTAGGAATGGTTCATGGAGAATAGTTGAAGGATCAAGATCAAGAACGGTTTACTCTTGAAAGAATTCTGATGAAATTGGGCATCCCCAAGACCTTGAGCCAACATGAGTCTCAGCAGAGAAGGTATTGTAAGCTCTGACAATAATTCAGCTATTCATCTCTCTCTCTCTCTCTCTCTCTCTATATATATATATATATATATATATATATATATATCCCCTCAACAGTATATCCAACCACCTATCCATCCACTCACAGTCTACCCATCCACCAACCTACCCAAACCATTTACTCCCACATCCACCTACTCACTATCCCATCCATCCATCCATCCATCCACCTATCCATTCACCATCTATCCATCCACTCATAATCTACCCATTCACCAACCCACCCAAACCATTTATCCCTCTATCCACCCATTCACTACCCCTCCCATCCATTCATCCATCCATGAGCCATCCATCCTCCATCTACCACCCACTTAGTTACATAATCAGACATTTATTCACCCACTTATCCTTCCTTCCTTCTGTATACTATTCTTCCAGTACGACACGGTTTAGTACACACACCGTGCCCTGGGCCTTGTTATAGTTCTAGGGATACAAAGATGAATTAGACCTGGTCCTTCCTGAAGACTCATGGTTCAGTTAGAGAGGCACCCACCCAAACATACCATTCATAGATGTGGGCACAACATGAGGCCTCTGAGATTTATACTGAGAGAGAGAGATAATGAAAACATTTCCTGGCAGTGAATAAAGACCTCGAGCTGAGACAAAGGGCATAAAACACAGGGCCTGGTGAGATGGAGGGGTGGATGGGTAGCAAGGAAACTTAGAGCAGAGAGGAGAGCCTAGAGGAAGCACAGGAGGGAAGAGAGATGTGAGCAGCGCTCTGGGCTTGGAGCTGAAATGACGTTCCCAAGCTAGACATGGTCCAGGTCTTAGGAACCTGGAGAGTGGGTGGGTGGGAGAGGTGGGAAGGGCCCTGTACACCCAAATGAGCAGAAGTATCAATAGTTTAATTGGGAGTTTTCAGGAATGGTTTCTTCAGACTCTGACAAGCCCCCTAAGGAACACAAAGCAAACAGCAGAGCAGGTAGATGATGACAAGAAACTTGACTATGTATGAGTGAGTACACAGTGGAGCCAGGTTTGCCTTATCCTCCTTATCCCAAGAGCAGGAAGCCAACAGTTACGAAACACATCATTAACAGAATGGAAGCACGGACGCTTCCTGTCCTAGAGAGAGGAGATGCCACATTCCACAGAGAGACCACCACGGAGCACTTGCCAGAGGGATGTGGTAGAGAAGGGTGTGGACTCTGAGCTGAGGATCCTCTCCACATTGTGATGGGAGGGGGTGAGGGGTCTGAGAGGAGCAGAAGAGGGGGCAGACAGAGACAGAGAGATAGACAGATGGGGGTGGTGGGGACGATCAGGGTGTCAGGCCGAGAGCACCCATTCTCTTGGCCTCTGCTCAGTGGTAGAAAGAATCCGCTTTTCACAAGCCCACTGTCCCTCCTTACACTTCCTCCTGCGGTTTGTCTGCATTTGCCTCTGGCTTTGTTGGGACTGGGGAAAACATACACTTCTCAGCGCTCAGATGCTCAGATGAGTTCTCGGTGGGGCGTGGTTGGTAATAATTTAATTAGCCCAGCTTTTTTGGGAAAAAAGTGTTAATTAGTTTTTGCTTAAAATACACGTCTTGATAACCTCTTCTTCTCCACTTGTCTCCCCTGAGTGAAGCCCCGATTTTCCATCCACACCCTACAGCAAGCCCAAGCCTGGGCACCATTGCTATTAAAAGGAAAGAAAAAAAAGTTTGTATAGTCATGGATTATGTCATGTGACGAATATAATTCCTGTGTCTCTGAGAGATGGAAAGGTGGAGAATCCCACAGTCATTTGCAAGGAGCAGCCTCTGATGAGTGCCAGATCTCAGGTCTGCGGCCATAACCCTGCCTCTGGAGGTCCTGGGAGATGGCCGAAGAACTCAGGGTGGAGGTTAAAAGGTGGGGTCAGAGCATCTCAGACAGACGGGAAGAGATCTCGCCAGGTGAGGCCATCCCCGCGAGACTTGTCTAGCCACCTGCCGCAGGAGAAGATGGTGGCCACTCCGGTGCTAGTGTTGGTGACCTCCACCTTCTCCACCAGCCAGCCTGAGCAGTAGCCGCTGGCGTCATGCTCCAGCCGGACCTGGCGCAGTTCTCCCAGCTCTAGCGTCTCCAGGAAGAAGCGGTCAGTGCTGCCCCGCTCGAAGAGGTTGCGCATTTTCTGTTTCAGTTCCCGCTTGCCCGTGTCCCCATTCGCTCCAAAGATGGTCACAAAGACGTTGGCGTCTGTGCCCGCCCCTGGTTCGTAGCCCGTCGTCACGATGATCTCGTACTTGACTGGTACCAGGCTCTGGATCTTACTGGCGAAGCTCTCTGTGGTCTTAGTAACCTCAAACACCTTGAAGTACTTCCTCTTCCTCTTGAGGGGGATGAGGCAGTCACAGTTAAAGAAGTACCTGGCAGAGCATTAAAGAGCACACAGGAGTCAGTTCAGAAGATGCCCCAGAGGGTCCCTTCATCTCCCATAGCCTTCAACCATCATTCCAACCAAGACACCCAGTGAGGTTGGATGCCAGTTGCTCCTTGTGTCCTCTAATTCTGCTCTCGTTCTTCATATTCCACATGAAACCCATAACCCAAACCTCTTGGTCCTGTCTTTCAAATGCACCTAGAACGAGCTGGTCTGTTCCCCTATCTCATCTCCTAGTATCTCCCTGTTGACTCTGCTCTGGTTCAAATCACCATCCTTTTCAAGACGAATGTCTAGGACCTGCTAACTGGGCTTTGTGCATCTTGCTCCCTAGCTCTGGAATAAATAATTGCTTCCAGTTCTTCCCAATCCACACTGGTGTAGCAGGCTGTCCTCTAGCCCCTTCTGAACTCTCGGCAGCTGTGAATTCCCACCCACAGGAGACCAACACAAGATGGAACCCATTGTCATTCCTTCACAGAGTGGGAGAGAGACACATGAGGTCCCACCTCTTCCTGAACAGTTATAGACGGTTAGCCATTGCTTAGGGGGTGGGGAGCTAATAAGGTCCTGTCCCTCCTTGAGAATTTATAGGTAGTTAATGGTTCTGATGGGAGGTTTGGTGAAGTCCTGCCCCTTTCTGGGGACAGTTAGATTATCACTTCCTGGAGAGAAAGGTTTTCTCCAGTTGTTTAGCTGCCCATCACTTTCCTGGGCTCTTTTAAGTAACCCCAATTAAACCCACCGCTTCACCAGTCTAGACATGGATGGAAAAGCCTCCTTTGTCCTGCTGTTGGTTTCCTATCTGGAGTGAATAGCTGTTTGCTCATCTCCCCAGGAACCGTTCCCACAACACTAATAATTCAGCAGAGTTTGAAATAACGCAGTCCCAGTGCTTGCTAATGACTTCAGGAAGGCAACAATGGAAAAGTGTGCCCAGAGGTGAAGACACCGGGATAGCTGGAGAGCAGCCATCCTAAGAGGCACTCTACAGGAGCAGTGGCAAGGAGCCAGCTTTACGAGATCACTCTGGGCCAGCTGCTCAGCTCACACTGGGAACCCAGAACAAGTGTCCAGGACTAGACTGCAACATTGTTGGCAGAAAACCTCTAAATCAAATAGAGGAAGAAAGCGTGACTCGAAATTGCAGTGTTCAGCAAAGGGGCAATTTAGTCTGATCCTTAGTCCCCACTGGACACATGGAAACAGGATCAGCACTCGCCCTTCACCCTGCGGTAACCTGCACAGAGGCAGGACCTGTGTCTGCTCTACCTCCAGAAGAACCTCCCAGAGGAAGGATTTATACTAGCATCCACCCCTCCCTCCATCTTGTAAAGACCCAGCACCTGCGCCAAGCGTCTGTCCAGGTGAGAGCCCACAGAGGCAGAGGCAGCTCTAGGCACGCAGAACACACACAGGTGGATCCTATGCCTGTGATCCACCCCTGAAGTGACTAGCACCAATTCCCTTCCTCTGAAAACTCTAGAGAGTCCTCACATAGGCAGAATCAGCACCCAGGTCCTGTAAAGAACAGACTGTACAGGTTGGTGTGGCGTGGGATTGGGAGTCTCCTAGCCCCCATCTCCGAAGTGTTGAGATTGTTTTAAGCTGCTGATTGCATCTCTCTCTCTCTCTCTCTCTCTCTCTCTCTCTCTCTCTCTCTCTCTCTCTCTCTCTTCATCTGAGGTCAACCTTGGATGGAATTCTTCTACCTGAGTACCTGAGTAGAGTCTCTTTTTGAGCCAGGGTCTCTCACTGATTAGACTAGGTTTCCCGGTCACTGGATCTCAGAAATCTGGCTGTCTCTGCTTTCCCAGCACCGGGGTTACAAGTGTGTGGCACCATGCCAGGCTTTTCTGTGGGTCCTGGGGATCAAACTCAAGTCCTCATGCCTGCATGGCAAGCACTTCCTGACTAAGCCATTGCCCAGCCTGCCTGTATTCTTTTCTATATTCTCTGTTGATTCTGTACTCACTTGGAGCTGCTGTATCTTCTCCCTTTATCCCTGCTCTCCTATTTATCCCCCCATGTTTTCTCTGTTGCTCTACACTAATTTCTAACATTACTCTGTGTCCTTACTTCCCTCCCTCCTGAAACAACTAATATCTTAGGACATGACATTCTATCTGTGCTTCTTACTCCCCCGCCGCAAATTATTTATGTTGAAGGGTGATTGCTTTAATCTGACTTCACTGTATTCTCATAGATCTGTATATTGTTTTTGGTCACTATGAAGACTGGATTCTACTCTTTGGACAAAGCTGGAGAGAAAGCACACAGACTTGATGTTTAGCCACACACCCAGGTCAGTGAGGATGAATGACATCTTAACCCTTCCACAGCCTACCACTACCTGAACATTCCAAATAGACTGGACAAATATGCATGATTAAAAGTAATCAGAATCATTCAGTCCTCAACCTAATACACAAAACCCAATGCAGAAACCCAAAAAAATACAAAAATAGCATGCAATGCAACTCCGGAGAATCACTAATTCCACTATAACGAACTGCAGGGAGTGTGGATGAGATGTAATCCTAGCAAATAATTAAGAATAATAAGAACATTTCACAAAATCAAAGAGGAAACAAATAAGTTCAAGAATAATCAATCACAAAGAGAACACACATTTTAAAAACTGAAGAATAAAATAAGAAGTCAATACAGGCTATTAAAGTGACATTCAATACAGAGAAATACTCTTAAAAGGGGGGGGAGTGGAGAACGGAAATGAAAAGCTCAATAAAGGAAAAAAACCTTCAGGAGAGAGATTCACCAACAGAATAAATTAAGTGGAAGACAGAATATCAGGGCTTGAATACAAAGTATAAATTAAGACATTCAGACACTTACAAAGATAAAATAATAAAAAAGCACAACAGAATACCCGAGACCTAAAAGATGCCACAAAAGACACGATCTTAGAGGTTGGAACAGTTCAAACAAAAGGTTTAGAAATCCTAGTCAATAAAATGGCAGTTAAACACAAGAGCCATTGAGAATGCCAGACATAAAGGACCAGAAAAGAAATTCCCCACATCAAACGTTAAATAAAACATGAAGGTTACAGAACTGAATTGAAGACTTCAAGAGTGAAGTAGCAAGTAATATATGAAGGCAACTCCATAGCTGTAACATAGGTGTAGATTTCTCAACAGAAACTCTAAAGCCCAGGAGGGCATGGGACAGTATATTTGAGCTCTGAAAGACAGTAACTACTGACCCTGATTACTATATTCAGCAAAATCATCCTTTATAATTTAAAGAAAAAGAAAAACTTTACATAATAAAACAAGCTAAAGAAATTCAAGACCACTAAGCCAGCCCTACAGAGGATAGTTTAAAGACTGTTTCCACCGTAGTGAAAAAAATATCCATGAGGTCACAGGAAAAAGAAACTACACTAGAAAAGCATATGAGCAAATAAAAAGGGGATACCAAATATCACAAAACAACAAAAAGACAGTAGCCAGTGCAGTTTTCAGTAATAACTACAGATATTAATGATCTCGATCCTCTAATCAAAAGGCACAGACTAGTAGATTGAATTTAAAAGTAAGGTCCATCTATCTATTGCCTACAAGAAACTCACCTCACTGCAATATACGAGCACAGCTTCAATGTGAAAGAATGGAAAATGATATTCCACACAAATGGAATTAAAAAACAAGCAGGTGTAGTAATACTAACAGCTGGCAAAATAGGCTTCAAACCAAAATTAATTAGAAGAGATAAAGAAGGTTGCTTCATACTGATTAAGAGATCAGTCTACTAAGAGAATATTGTAATTATAAGCCTATATGCATTGAGTATTAATACATTAACTTTATAAAACAAACACCAATGGATGTAAACACACAGCTTTACCTCAATACAATAACAGTGCTCCACTCTCACCAACAAACACGTCATCTAACAGACAAAATCAAATTAACAAAGAAACACCAAAGAAGCATCACAGCTAAGGCCACTGCAGACCAAATGGACTTAGCAGACAGCTACAGAACAGTCCACACAAACACTGCAGCACACATTTTTCTCAGAACCCCATGGAACTTTCCCTAAAATACATGACATTTCAGAACCCTGAACAAATCCTAAAAATACAAGAAAATTCAAAGGATTTCTTAAATCCTATCTTTTTGCAATTTTTGAAAATATAATTTAATTACAACACTTCTTTCTCCCCCTTTTTCTCTGACACTCTAAACCTATGCCCCTCCCCACTCTCCTCCATTATATCCTGTCTTACTGCAACAAAATAAAATCAATATCAAGAGAAACAATAGGACATAACTCATGGGGATTGAACAAAATACTGAATTATAAATGACTCATCCAGGAGATCAAGAGAGCTACTGGCACACAGTGAAAGTAGGGTTGGGATATTTCCACCTACAAACCATTACATTAAAAAAAAAATCAGAGAGGTCTCAAATACAGAGCTTAGTGATGCGCCTTCAGGCCTGGGAGAAACCAGAGCAAGCCAAATCCAAATCAGTAGGTGGAAAGAAATAATAAAGATAATGCAGAAATAAATGAAATGAAAATCAAAAGAATAATATGAAGAATCAGTGAAATAAGGAGTTGGTTCTTCACAAAGATAAACAAGATTGACAAACCTTTAGCCAAACTAACAACTGAAAAATAAGACCCAGACCAATAAAATTAGATATCATTACTGTTTAGGTGGAAACTCTGATTCAGACTCCCCTGCTCCTCTCCAAACCCCGCCCCTCAGAAAGCCCACCACGGGGCTGCCCCTCTCCTTGAGATGCTCAAGACTGCACCTACAGGGTATTTAAAACCTTCCACATGGTTTCTTTCCTGCTTTCTTCCTCTGAGAATCACCCAGAAATTGCTTTGTTCAGATTAAACCTGGTGTTGCTAATTCAGCTGGATTTGGCTTATTGCCTTGGCGGAGAAACCCACAAAAACCCAGGGATTTTCAAAATACTTATCAATTACAACAGATATCAGTGA